TACAAGCACAGCAATGCACACAAGAGCGCGAGTGCTCGCACCGTAGCTCTGAGTTTGACCCACTTGGAGGAAAGGAGAGTACCAGACACAAGACGCCCTTCCAGGGGACAGCTAGGCAGACAGGACCAGGGAGCTGTAAGTACAGTACATGGCTGTTCTCAAGGGCAGCAAGACTAATGGCTATGGCTCTTGTCTGGGCTAGTTACTCTTAAACCCTGCTACCAAGGGGCAAGTGTATAGTGAGAAGCCGTAGACCCAGGCTCTGGGGGCAGTTTGTGCATGGCAGGGACAGGCACTCACCATGTCTCCATAGATTTCATCAGCTAGGATGGGGACACACTGTCTCGAGGCCACTGGGGGAGAGAAGTAAACACTGAAACTGGCTGCCTTGTTTCCCTACAGGGTGCAGACTCACCCTCATCCTACAGAGGCCAGGGCTGGGCTCTCCCCTAGCCCTACAGAACAGACCCCAATCCACCCACAGAGCGTCTCCATATTCCTTGTTTCGGACTTGCAAACCAGTGGACAAAGCATTAGAGAATACATTGTTAGGAACAATCCTTCCCAGGGCTAGGCTTGCAGGGCCTATGCCTGCTCTGACCCCCGGCCTGGGGCAGACGCCACTGATCCACTCATCATAATGTTGAAGGCTTTCCCAGCATGGATTCTGAGAGGTGGATCAGGGGTACGATCCCCATTATACAGCCAGAGAAGGGCCACACGGTGGGTTAGGGACAGACCCTAGAAGCTCTCATCCTGCAACCCTTCCCTGGCCATGCTGACTCTGTGCAGGGTTGTCCCAAAGGCCCTGGGAACAGGGTAAGTCACAGAGTGTGGGTTGAATCCTCCAGGCCCTGGTACTGTTATTTCTGTAGCACCAACATTGCCACATAATAGGTCCGGTCCTACCATAGAGCTCACCATAATTAGACTGAAGCAGATAAGCAGAGGATAGGGCAAGGCAGCAAACCACAGCCCTGCCCTGGCTCCGTGCTCAGAGACTCACCAGCCAGGATTTTCTGGAGATGGCTCTTGCTGAATACGGAGCCGCAGGGGTTAGATGGGTTGTTCACAATGAGACAGGCCGTCTTCGCATCCACCAGCGACTCCAAGTGCTTCAAGTCAATTTCCCAGGATTTCTCAGGCTAGTGAGGAAGAGGAGGGAGAGGGTGCATGAAGATGAAGAATAATGCATGGAGTATGGAGTGAGGACCCAGCTGGGGGCTGGGAACCAGGCATGGGGATGAAGTGCAGCAGGGCTGGGCACAGGCTGAGGGACTAGGAGTCCAGGCCCAGAGTGAGGCACGAGGGTCCGGCCAGGCCGCCAGTTGCAGCATGTGGAGCGTGTGTGGCCAGGTGCAGGGCAAAGACCACGCAGACGTAGCTGTGCTTTGTGCCTAATGAAAGGCACCAGCATTTCTTCCTCCCTGTGAGAAGGCATCACTTACACAGGGGCCTTGGGGAGCACGGCCACCATGGAAAGCTGAAGGCCCATGAGAAGGGCTGGGCTGATGGGCTCTGGCAGCAGCTTATTTGGCTTTGGCACTTCACGCCTTCCTCCCTTTTCTTATGAGGAGGGTAAGAGATCCCTGGAAGCTCTCTAGAGGGGGCTGTGGCATTCCGCTCCTAACTGCCTTACCAAGAGGTTGTAGAATTTGACCTCAATCCCCATGGAGAGTGCAAGGGTCTTGTAGAGAGAGAAGCCAGGTCTTGGCACCAGGATGTTCTGCCCTGGATTAGCCAGCACGGCTAATGCAAGTTCGATAGCCTGGCTGCAGCCACTCGTCAAGATAACGTCCTGCAGACAGCAAACGAGAATGAGCTCTTTGAATGCAACCAGAGGCTGCTCTGAGAAATTCCAAAGCAGCCACTGACAGCTGAACTGGGAGTAACGAATTGTCCATGGGTCTGCCAAAAGCAAGAGCTTCTTGGCTAAAAGGGCCTGGAAGAAGCTAAACAGACAGCAGCAGCCACTGCTGGCTTCTGGGAGCTCAAACCCACCAGATCAGAAAGCCAGGAATGGGTGACGGGCAGAAAGCCAGATACGATCACTTTGGAAATGGATCATGTCCAGCCATCTTGCTCTCTTCCTGGATAGAGACAAGGTGTGAGAAAAGCCCAGCTGGGGCCCCACCGTGCTGCACTGTCTCGTTTGTTGCTAACACCACGGAGCCCATTCATTCTCCAGTGAGGACACTTGCCAGGAAGGCTTCATTACCTGAGCTTCCAGAGGTGCTTCGGGGCAGCTATAATACGCAGCAACCACTTGCCGGCAAGACTGGTACCCTTGGGAGAGAAGGATGGAATATGGAGTGACAGTGGTTTCACCGGATTTCCCCATTCTGGGCAGGAACCACCAGAGGCATGGGACAGAGACACGCAGCACAAAGAGGGGACTCCAGAGGAATAAACCCCAGGGCAGGATGGAATTCGTTTGAATTCCGAAGGAAACAAAAGACAACATTAGTTGGCCCTGACACAAGCACCTTGTTCCATCACTGAACCAGCTGCTCTCAGCCCCAGGGCAGGTGAGTGACATCCTGGCCCCAGAGCAGGCCTGGGAAGTGCAGGCTTTACAGCACAGATAAGGGCCTGCTCCAATGCAAAGTCCCCCTGCCCCTGAATCAATGCCCCATGCCCAGTCCCCACAGCCCAAGTTAACTCCGCCGGTAACTGGGTCTACAACCTCCATGGCCAAGCCAATGTGGTGTGGAAAGTGCAGTACTTATATCAGCTAACACCAAGAACAAAGCTGTGTGGCAATGCAGCAATCTTTGCTCTGCTCCAGGGCCCTCACTCTGAGGGGATATTCTCAGTGTCTATGGGGTCACAACAGGGATGGATTTGGCCTCCCGTGGGTCTTGAATGACTGTTTGAAGCACTTTCCTGTGGAGAATGGGACTAAAAAAGCTAGCCAAAGTGACACGATATGGAGCAGAATGAGGATGCAACACCCTGCCCACATCACACTACTGTGAGGAAACCTATCCAGGAGGCAGAAGAGTATCTGGCCCAGCCTTTTCCCAGAACAATGGCCACGCAATGACCGGGACAAAGCAGCACAGCTCCTCCATGAGCAAATCAGGCCTCCAACCTGTTCAAATGCCCTGCTGCTCATTGGTGTGCATGGGCATACATAGGGCCAGAGGAGTATATGCATCGTAGTGAGTCAGTGTCAATCAGAAAGATGTAACAGGACATCCGTCTAGATCCCCTGGCTCAGCCCTGTCCTCCTGTGCACAAGCTGGGCTAGGACACTGCCCTTAGAAGAAGAATCATGGGGCCTTACCGACTGAAGGAGCATATCCATTGTAGTTCCCTGAGTCCAGGGCCTCCTTCACAGCCTGGATGACCTCATCATCAGTGGGGAGGTTTCCAAATACCGTTGGGTCACCTTTTAGGGAATGACAAACAGCAAAATCCTTTTTTCTCATGTCCTTTAATGATGGAGCTGTACACAGCACACCCTCCCCTCCTGCATGCTTCAGAGACCCCCTGGCTGCAGCTCAGCTCGGGGGCCCTCAGTACCCCACCTCTTCGCTACCACCCCCGCTGTTCAGCCACACAAAGCACTGCCGGCAGGGACAGCGCATTTCCCAATACTCACCTAGGGACAAGGAGATCATGGGCTTGTTTGGGTTGGGTTCCACTTTCATAGTGTCCACGATGGCTCGGATGGGATTGAAAGTCTTCTTGGACATCTCAGAGGCCCGGACTGCCCATCTAGGCTTCCGGCTTTTCACCTTCCCCAGGGAGAGGCTGTTCCCATTTCTATGGACATGGACATCGCTATTGCCGTTCATTTGGATCAGGTAAGAGTCCATTCTGAGATCTGCCCGAGAGAAAGGGCACTCCCCAGAGTTAGCCTTTGTTGTGCATTATTTGTTATGCACCAGCTGTGTGCTCTGCCCCATACAAGATACAAAGGGGAGTTGCTGCTTGAGGGGCCAAAAGTGAGGCCTTTGAAGTTAGGCCTTTGATGGTCACTGGGCCTTACATATCGATCCCTAATCCCAGTTCCTAGATCAGCAGTGCCAACAGACAGGCTGGGAGGGAAAGGGGGCAGAGAGAGTGGGGATGGGGAAGGGAGAGAGAGGAAAGAAACAGATGGGGAAAGCCAACCCACATTCTAATGAGACTAGGGTGACCACACACAAGTGTGAAAAATTGGGATGGGGGGTAATAGGTGTCTATATAAGACAAAGCCCCAAATATCAGGACTGTCCCTATTAAATTGGGACATCTGGTCACCCTAAATGAGACCCTGCCACAGGAGAGCAGGAATAAAGATGCTACTCCACCCCAGCTCCACTCATAGCACAAACTCCACCCACAGCCCCACAGGAGAGGCAGGTTTCTGCTAAAGCCGCAAATTGGGAGTTTGCAACCTTGTCATTTTCGTGGTCATCACTGGGCTTCAGAATTAACACACTGCTGAGATGAATGAGGGTCAGTCACGCCTCCCAGAGCTGTTAGGCTGAAGCCATCCTAGGTGTAAGTCCCTGACAGCAAGGACGGATTTACCCAATTTGTGACTGCCGGTCTGCATACATTCTGAGCACCTGGCTGGGGTGACGCTCAGAAAGGACAGGCACTTAATGCTGTTAAAATGACAGCTGAGACTCTGCAGAAATGCTGTTGGCCCTGCACTGTTCTTCAGGGCAGACCCTGCAGAGAGGAAGGTGTAAAACATACGATTCCCTCCCTGACACTGAGAAGGCAGCAGAGAGATGGCTCACAGGGAGGAGATGAGAATTCCTGAGCAGATAATAATGGGCATAGTGAAGGGTGTGCAGCGAAGCTCCTAGAAAAGGGGAGCTGCCATTGGCTAAGGCAGAATGGACTCATTCACCTAGACTGTGGCTTGGACCAAGGGTCCCCCCCCACATACTGCTCACAAGCAGGGCCGGCTCCAGGGTTTTGGCCGCCCCAAGCAGCCAAAAAAAAAAAAAGCCGCGATCGCGATCTGCGGCGGCAATTCGGCGGGAGGTCCTTCGCTCGGAGCCGGAGTGAGGGACCATCTGCTGAATTGCTGCCGAATAGCTGGACCTGCCACCCCTCTCCAGAGCGGCCGCCCCAAGCACCTGCTTGCCAGGCTGGTGCCTGGAGCCGGCCCTGCTCACAAGGGGCTCAGGCTACACTCACATACTGTGAGAGGTTGAATTAACTGAGCAGTGATGTTGTGCTTTCCAGCTACAAAAAGTGTAACCAGAATAGTGACTGATTCATCCCCCAACGAGTGTAATCCCAGCTGCATAGACCTCCTCACTGCTGGCTTTCCAGGACAGATGAGACATAGGCAGAGCACTGAGATTTCAGCCTAGGGTTGGGAGGGTCCCTCTCCTGATATCAGCCCTCACTTTTCCCCAGGTTAGTTTGAGTTTCTCCTTTGAGGTTTGAGCCCTTCTTGCACTTATCAGCTCTGCTGAGGAAAGCCAGTTGGGAGAGAGAAACCATTCAGCAGAGCCCAGTGACAAAGAAACCAGCCACAGACTCAACCCAGTCCAGAAAAGAAAAGCATTTGGCCTGAGCTTCTGACCTCCTTGCTAGTGCAGCTGGGGTCTGAACACACACCAAAGAGCCTACTTGACCAGTCTCCGGCACGGGAGAACCTGCACGCAGCACAGCGACAAGATGGGTCTGAAACGGCCTAGAACCCTGGGCACTCCCTGTCTGCAGGGGAAACTGGCTGCATGGAAAGAAGAAACTCTGCCTCTGCAGTGACCCAGGCTAGTCTCTTCCAAAAGAAACACCAAGTGCTCAGTACTTTACCTTCTACAGCGCAGAGGGAGACACTCCAGTGCCCAGTGTCCGAGTCTGTCCCTTATCCTTGACAAATTGCCCTGAGAAGAAACTCAAATGCAATTCCCCAGCCCATGAAATAATTTCCAGAACTGGGCGTTGGGCTTGAATCCTTCGGCTATTGGCTGTGAGTGAGGGCTGTGCTCCCCCACTCAAAAACACCCCCTCCCTCCCCACTACAACTGCTCTCACTTCAAACATCTGGTGCTCTCCTGCACATTAACTCTTTCTGGGAGCTGCAGGCAGAGGGGCATAGTTTGGATTTCTGGATGTCACTGGGCACTTCCTCTCTGCGCTGCCTCCCCCTGTGCACTTAGCTATGGGAGTCCCCAGCAGCCCAGGTACTCCTGACCTAAGCACATTGTAGAGCCACTGCCCCCTAAAGTGGGGGACAACAAACCTGCAAGTTTGTCCTTTCCACCCCAATGCTTTGGGCCCCTCGTTTCTAGATCCCATAGCTCAGAAAGGGCACAGATTGCAGGCATCATGCAGATACCTGTGAGAGGGGCTGTTACTCCTTTGGCAACTGAACAAACAGGCACACATCTCCTCAGCCTTTGTCTGAATGTGCCAGGGCCCTAAGAGTTAAAGGGAGTCTCAGTTGTCCCAGTTATTTGTCCCAGGGCCCACACAGCCTGATCTTCTTGGCAGATAATGGAAGGTGATGCAACTTCTCTCCCCTCAGTGCAAACAGCTCATGATTCCAAATGTTCTCTTGGGGTGGGCAGGTGCTGGGATGTCACAGCAAGGTGAAGTGACACTTCACTGCCCCTTGGGGTGCTACTCCGGGAGAGCAGCATGCACAGGTAAAGGAGGTTTTAATTTTTTAGCCTTACAAAGGCTGCTTCTAGTCCATAGATGCCAACCCTCCCCCACTGAGACTGTGTGTGTCTGGGGCTGACTGAAGATCAAAGAGCTGCTCATGGGCTGCAGGAACCCTGCTAATCTCCCTGCAAACAGACAGGCTGATGACACAATGTCAGGGGTCAGCGGTCATCATGACAGTGCCTGTTGGTATCCACCAGTGTAGGTGGAGAAAGGATGAGCAAGGCCCTGGCTTGGCCCGGTGCTTACATTACCCAGCCACCAGCCCTGACAGGCTATTAGCATTAATTCTGCAGCTCTGCCCCAGAGTCAGCTGGAAACAAAACGGTGCACATCAGCCCCCAGGGTGCATCTGCATGGTGACATGTTGCCCTGTCAGAACGTGGCTATAAACAGGTGACATGATGCTCAGCATAGGCCAGGACAAGCTGCAGCAGCCTTGTGGCAGCTACTGCCCAGGGTTACTCCCAGCTAGCTGACATGGGCGCCCGATTGTGCTGGATGGGGACAGAAACAGCCTTTGCCTGAAGCAAAGAGCTCACCGTTTTGTCTTCTGACAGGAAAACACATTGTTGTGTGGACCAGGTCCCGGCAGCAAGGGGCCTCCTGGGCACTTAGGGGGCTGGCCAATCTCTTGCTGGAGGCACTGGGCTTGTCTGGTGGCTGCGGAGTTGTAGAACATCCGGTGTCCCTACTGCTGAGGCCTGTGGGGCCAGGCCTGCACTATGATCAAGGAAGAGAATAGTGGAAAACAAAGTGGCTCTGCCACTGGGATGCTGAGACCCCTGGTGCTGGGACATCGAGCACCGGAGGGGCTGATGGCAGTGCCAGGATACTGCACTGGTGTTAAGGGTCAGGTGCCCAGGAGCAACCCCCCAGCTGGGCAACGTGTGCTGAAATAGCTGCTGCATCCCTCGTGCCAGCGCTCGTCTAAAGATTTCACAAGAAAAATGACCTGTGTCAAAAACAAACATTTCACAAAGAAATTTAGTTTTTGAAAACTTTGTTTTTTTTTCAAATGAAAAACTACATTTTATTATTTTCATTTGCTGTCTGTCCTCCGCCCATCCTCACACTTAAAAAAAAAAAGAAAGAAAATGAGAAGTTGGCTTCTACCAGAAACTCCCAAACAAAACATTTTCAAAATGTTTGTGAATTCTTCTTTCTGCCTCTCCCACAGGCTTTTCTCTCTTTGAGTTCAGGCAGAGCTGTAAGGGTTAAGTCCTGAGGCCCTCACATAGACTATTCTGCCTGGCAATAAACACCCTAAACTGATGCAACCCAGAGACTCTACCCGTAATCCTGTGCATGGCAGCGAGGTTCAGAGGAGAGCATGGCAGGACCCTGCCTGCAGCAGGGACAATATTGGCATGAAGACAACAGGTAATCTGTGTTACATAAGGCTGGGGACTGGCTAGATGGAGCAGCAGGAAGTAGGATTCAGAGGGAGCTGTGGGTTCCTTCAGCAGTGGCCTACAGTAACAAGAAGGGAATGGAGGTGTTTAGGCATGCACATTCCTTACCCAGCCTCAGTTCCCTGGAAACTCAGTGCCCCCAGATACAACAGGCATGGTTTTGCAGAAGGTCCTAGAAGAGGGTGACACAGGCATCTTTGATCCCATGAGTGGGAATCTACAGAGGTCCTTGAAGAAGATTCAGGGGGCATGTCTACACTGCCCTGCTATTCGGGCTAAGGGGGTGTGAACAGCAGTGCGCAGTCAGGAAGACATTAATGCAAATTTGGAACCTTTACATTTGGGACTGCAGCATCCACCTGGGGGGAGGGAGTTACAGCGCAGACCTTTGGTGCATGCACACTGCTATTCACATGCCCTTAGTCCGAACTGCGGGGCAGTGTAGACATGCCCTGAATTACACGCAAGGCTGGAGACCTGCCTACAGAAGGAGGGAGTGAGATCCAGAGGGAGCGATTCCAGGGTTACCTCTCCATGGCACTTTAGACAGTGCATGAAGAAGCAGGGAGGAGGGGAAGATACATCAGAGACTAGGGGAGGATGGCAGTGGTGGAGTTCTTGTGCTACAGGGCACTGGGTAGCCACTCTTCTGTTCCTACCCACCAGGAAGCTGGTAGCTTCAACTAGTCAAGAACTCAACAGTCCACTTTCCAGTCCTGACACATCTCCTTTGGCCCAGTCCTACATCTTGGTTTCACTCTCTCCGTCTCCTCCTGGGCCTGTCAACTTACTGCTTTCTTTTTACCCAAGTGATTAGTCAATATTTGGGGTGTTGGCGATTGTTTCTGTTAGGAGGAGAAACTGATGACATGAGTCAAGTATTTCTTTGATGCAATCCTATTTATCGAGGATGTACAAATTCCTGTTCCCCCAAACACAGTAGGAACAAACAACAGGAGGCAGTTCCTTTGCTCACTAGTCTAAGGCCAAGGCTACACTTCAAAGTTCTCCCGACATACCAGTCAGTCAGTCAGTGGTGCAAAGAGGTGTGATCTGTGACTGACATCACTACCTTGCCAACAGCTTCTAGTACAGATGCAGCTATATTTACTGGGGGTGGAATTAGGTATACCAGCAGAAGTTTTGCAGGAAAAACTGGGTCCAAAGGAAGAGTACTTTGCTGGTATAAAACACAGTACAGCTATATCAGCAAAGCACTCTAGTATACACTAGCCCTGAGAATCTTTCCAGCCAGCACTCTGCCCAAAAAGCTCTCTCTTGTGGCCTTCTCTCAGGGACACATTACAAGTCACTTCACTTTCTGTCTCCTGGCTTTCGGCCTCTCTTTGGGTGCTTTCTGGCTGCTTCTGGCTCAGTCGCGGACACAGCTGCAACCAAAGGAAATCCTAGCCCATGTTTGTATTCACTCTAGTCTTTGGGCAGTAGCTGGCTACCTTTGTTTTGGCTCTCACTATACAACCGGGCATTAATTTGTTTCCTTGTTTAGCTGGAATGGAAAGTGGTTATCACACCCACCAAGGTCAGTGAAATCTGTGACTGCCCATAGATCAAAGACATACTCCCTGGAATCCAAACATAGGGTTACCATATTTAGTGCCTCCGAAAGGAGGACACTCCACGGGGCCCCGGCCCCACCCCCAGCCCCGCCCCAACTCCGCCCCCTCCCCAAAGTCTCCGCCCCCTCCCCTGCTTCCCGCGAACATTTGATTCGC